GTGGGGGGTGGAAGAGAAGGGGAGGCAATATGTAGAGTAGATGAGGAAAGTAGGAGGGGAGACCCGTGTTTTGCTTCTGATGACCACTAATGAAGTTTTGTGACTTTAGATCATAACCCTGTGTTGAAAAGGCCAAGAAAGGGGGGGGTGTTAAGCAGACAACCTATAAGGTCTGTTGTCACAACGTTCAGTCAAGGAGTCATGTTCGGTCTTTAAGTGACTGGGGTGTCCTCTGCTGTGGTCTGGAGCACAGGTAAAGCCTGTCACTGCCCACGAGGTACGAATGGAGCAGCAGCCCCCATCTGGGAACACGTTGTCTCTCCTTTTGCTGCTCCACTGTGTGCACAGAGGGGCTCACCTGTGTTCTCCCTACTGTCTGTCCTGGCGATGCTCACCTGCCAGCGTGCAGTCAGACCCCGATCACGGCTGGAGGTTAGAGGACTCCCGCAGCTACTGCCTCTGAGCCTGCACGCTCCCAACATTGTGCCGCCGGTGAGGAGTAGGAGCAGGACAAGACATGGTGGAGAATTCCACACTGACCATGACATGGGCTGGGTGCATCCACAGGACACTCAGAACTGGGATACTGGAGAAAGTGGGACCCTGAAGGGGAGGAACTGAGGAAGGCCAAGGACTCAGAGATCCTGCAAGGAGGAGGCTGAGCAGTCCTAACCCTTACTTAGGTCAAAGACCAGCCCAGCAAGAGGCCAGAGATCACACAGCCAGAAGAAGGCAGCTCCCTGGAGCCCAAGCTTGGTGCTGGGTCTGGGACTTAGGGTTGGGGTGCATGGGAGGTCACTGGGCTGGGAGTCAAGGGTCTGTTACAACAAGGCTTGGCCTACTGGCAGGCCCCTTCCCATCTCCTTAGCTTCCCACAGCTGAAGTGATGTACAAGGGGACCCTGTCTGGAGTCTCTAACGTTTCCACCTTTTGTAGTTCATGAATCCAATTAAAAAATCAAAGAGCATCAGACCTTCACACATACAACACAAACTACTGCAAAAAAAATACTGGGTGTTTGTGATTCCCTAAGATCCCCCCCACAGATCTGAGAGTCTGACACTCTAATCATATTCATAAATAGGACACCATCACACCCCACCAGCTCAAAAGCTATAATAAAGGAAAGTAAAAGGCTAGTTCTTTCTGCAGCCCCCACCGCCCCCACACAGACCAACTACTAATGAGTTTTTCTCCTGTTTGCTGATGGAGGGTACTTGCAATAAAGTTTAATGTGGAAGAACAAGGTGCATTTAACCAAAGCTGTAAACATCTCTAATTCTATTTAAAACTATAGGGTGCAGTACATTAACATTTAACAATCAGACACTAAAATGGTGTGAAGCTAATCGAGCTGTGTTTATTAGAAAGCAAGCACCAAGTCATCTTTTATCAATGACAACAGAAGAAGCAGAAAAGCCCATTGCACACCACCCTGTGCATTAATTAAGCATCTTCTTCAAATTGCCACCCTATGGAAAGACACTGATTGCTTTGGAGAAAAATCGCTGAGCAGAGCAGATGGGGCTTAGCGCCAAAGTCTGGTGGCCTCGTGTGCTTGGGGAATCGCTTTCCCAGCAAACGAACTGCTTTTGAAACTGAAATGTACAATTAATTCAGAATGAGCAAGCCTCAACCTGTGCTCTATTCAACCTCTGCAAAGTTCACCTATTATGTCCTTCCTCCTTCCAGAAACCCTCCTGAAGAAGGGGAGATTTCTCTACTCTTTGGGTCAGTTGCTTCTCTCTGGGCCCCTGAAGGTTCCTCAGCTCCTTCTGGGCCTGCCAGCAGGCTACCAGCTTCCCCTGCTCAGGCCTAGGCCCTCTCCCATCTCATTGTGTCTCTCCCTGGCGATTTGTTCCCTCTCAAGGCTTCAGCTGTCACCTCTGCTTTGAGGATCTCCCTATGGGGTCTAGGTGCACATTTCCAATTAAGTTCCATCCTTGCCCCTCAAAATATGGTCTGGGAATCAAAAACATGGGTATTTTCTAGAAGCTTGTTAGAAACACTGACTCTTAGTCTTCATCTAGACTTCCTGAACCACCATCTAGTTTAACCAAATCCAGGTGATTCATGCACATGTTAGGGTTTAGGGAGCCTGTCTCTCCTGTCCATTCGCACCCCACCATAGGTCAGGCAGACCCTTCCTGCCAACCATGAGCTCTTCCGTCCACCGAGCACCTCTATCCAGTGTTGGGGAAAGGCAAAGGGGAGGCCAGCATCTTCACCATGTGGCAGTCTTACCTTATAATGAGCCTCAGAGGACACTGAAGCTCACTGGGTTCTCCCACCCCTCCCTTCGCCCTCCTCCCACTCTTCGCCCTCCTACCATCTCTTGGTCAAGGAGATGGTAAATCATCGCGGTCATGGTAGAACCAGCCTATGCTGTGGGTAAGTCAGCACAAAAGCCCCCCCAACACCCGTGTGACATGGTTCCTAAGCTTCTGCGCCCTGAGCCTTTCTGCGTGGCCATCAATGCTGCTCCGAGCCTGCTGGTGTCCCTATGCTGAACATGAGGGCACCTCCCTTGGAAGAGCATCAGTCTTGAATCCTGATGGTCCCCCTCCATGGAAAAGGGCATTTTTGGAGCCCCTAAGGGTCTCTCTTAGCTAGAAGGAGCAGAGAACAGTGGGAGCTAGGGGCTACACATGTGTTGTTGGCCGTGGTTGAGTGGGCTTCATGGGTAGAGGGGCTCCGTGCAATTATTTTGCTTCCTGTACTAGGGAGCAACTCTGATGAATACTTCACTAGATCAAATTCTCTCTTTTGCCTTCTGACAAACTTGAGCAAAACCAGAAGTAGGTAGTAGGATATAGGGTAGTTTATTAAATCAAAAGAGCTGATGGAAAGAGAAAAGGGGATTTTAGTGGCTGGGGACTGGGGTTCTTTGTTTCTAGGACACACTCTTCCTGGCTTCTGTCTCCGCCTCTCCTTCAAGCTCCACCACTTCTCCGCAGGGCAGATGTTAATGTAGGTGGATCTGTGGTATTCCAGCTCAGGCGCCCAAAGGAAGATGGTTCTTTGTCCTAATACTTCCGATTGACCCAGGTCACCTCCCACATGCTTTGCACCATTTCCATGGTCTGGGCCCCCTTGTTGACCCTGCCTGTGTTGGAGTCATGTGTGTCAGAGGCTGCATGATGAGCAAGGGCTTGAACTGCAAAAGTGTAACTAGTTTAGTGTTCTTATCCCAAATGAATCTTCGGGGTTGATGTACGAGATGACACAGATGAGTGTCTATGAAACTACAGGAAGTAGCTCCAGGCTATTTTCACTCCAACAAGTTTCAGAAGGGGATAAATCTGGTTTTTCCCATCGGCCCCATGTGCTCAGAGTCAGGTTACTTTAAGAAAGAGGCAGTCCTAAAGAAATCCCAACCCACCCCTTCCTTACGCAGGTGTTTTAGTTCAATGCTCAGTGCTCAAATTGGGAGAGTTGTTTTCACCAGGTGAACACAAACCCTCCCTCTTGCTACTGGCCAGGATTCCGTGTTAGGTGTGACTACCTAAAAGCCACCACCAAAGCTGAGAGCATCTGCACAGTCTGGCGGGAGAGTCACTGCATTTGGAGCAGTGGGTCTTTATGAACGTCATTTAAATGACACGCAATGCCCTTTTGAAAACTGCTCATAGATACAGATGTAACCATAAGGTGCCTTATAGTAAAACCACCCGAAGAGTCTTCCTGCATTCCCCTAATCAAGGATAAGTGTCTCCTCAATTATCTTTAGAAATGGCAACAACGCATGCATATGTTGCAGTGTATTTGACAGAGACTGAATTGAGTGGAGTCATTTCTTTAAGTTTATGATCACAATAATGTCACGATTTACCATATCAAATCAGCACCAGAAACAAATCACCCACTGCCTCCTGTTCGGAGCTGAATTCCCTGTTTCTGGAGGCAGCAGTGGGACAAGCTCTGCTTAGCTGTGACCCCTAGCTCCGTGAGTCCCGAGTGCATTTTCAGCAGGAGGTGGTGGGCTTGCAGTTTCCTGTATACTGTGTGTCGGCAGGCCCTCCCTCACACACCTTCAAGTGGATTTTTGTGGCTGTGACCAGAATTTTGGAGAAAGAATATGATCTAAATTTTTAACAATGACTTAATACACTTCCAGCCACCAGCTCCTAAAAACCCAAGCTGTTCTTGGTGAAATGCATTCATTTCCGCATATCATGGCCCTAAACTCCCATTGAATTTAAGGAGATGGCTAGGGATGACAGAAGTTCAGTTCAGGACTGTAGAAGCCTGGGACTCTCTCTACCCATCTGACTCATAGTGAAAATCAGGAAATCACCCTCTTCCTCAAAATACCTGACAGCCGCCATCTGCGGGAACCCTGCCATGGCAAACGACTCTGATGCAGTGATAATTATATGACTGACTAATACATGCTAATCATGTATTCTGTGCTCTCTCCTAAAGAGAGGCTCTGGGAAATGCCAATGAGTTTTGCCAAATGACTTTTCTTGCTCAAAATCTGTGTGTATTATTTACTATCTTGAAATCTGGCAGAGAGGGTGGGAATGAGATGCAGGTGTAGGCCAGAGAAAATGGCTTCCTTTTTATCAAGTCAGGCTGTTTTTGCTTCTGGAAAATCATGACCTGCTCCCAGTTGGGGCCCTTTCCAATAAACCACGAGAGGTACTCAAAAGCTATCCTGGGTGTCTGGAAGAGTTACTACTGAGCTGAGTTCATGAACAAATATTTACTTTTTAGAGCTGTTGCAATGAGAGCTTTAAATAGTGAAAACATTTGCATTCTGAAAATATGGATCAATTTTAGTGTGGATGATAACACAATATAGTTGTATAGAAGCTTGCAATACTCATCATCATGTTATAGGAACTCTTTGAGCAGCTAAGTCAACTTTCTACAAACACAGAGTTTAAGACAAATAGAAGACAACTTAAGCACATCCTTGTGGTAGCATAGAGAGGCACCAAACACATGCAAACTTGTGTTTAAAAATATATAATTTACCATATATACAGTTCATTACAAAGGCAAACAATTTCTATAGTGTGCAGTAAACAAACACCAGAGCACAGTCATGCTTTGGAAGTGTCCTGAACAACCCAGTTGGCAGAATGATTCTCTTCTAGGACGAGCTCGCCATCAGTGAGATCCCACAGAGCGACTTCCCCACAGACTGTTGCTCCACACGTCCTGACACCCCCCAACCCATGGGGACCCCACACAGAGCTGGACAAGCTTTTTGCAACAAAAGGCCTTCAGGAGACACTTTTCCAGCCCAGTGTGCACTTCCTAACCTCCTACCCTGGGGGACCAGGCAAAGACGTTGCTTTCACAGGAGTGGACAGTTAGACTAGGCCACACTCCCAGAGGCCCCTTCCTCCACAGTGTCAACTGATGACAAACTCCCTGGCTCCTTTTGGAAAGGGTCAGAATTTCTTGGAGAATAGATCCTTGTAAAGCAGTATAGCACCCCTTCCTTCTGGTGGGGTTGAGCCCTGTAGGATTGGGTCCTATTTATCCTAAGGCCTCAGGAGATCATGGGTATGGAAACAGGCACTGGAGTGTTCAGGGACAGTTTGCTGCTAGCTTTGACCTCAGACCAGGCAAAAGACTTTGCTTTCACAGGAGTGGGCAGTTAGACCCTTCTCTGTACCATGCCCTTACGCTGCCAGGGTCAGCGTGTTTTGGAAACAAGAGTTGCTATCTTGAAGGACTGCTTGCGATAAGCAATTTGCTCTGCTCTGGCTGCCTGACCAATATTATCCAATCCTTTGAAAACCATTACTACATATCTACCATCTCACACTCTGGCCTATAATGGCATTTCCTCTAGCTATATACTATGAGCTTGATATCACGGATACAGGAAGAGAAGGAGATTAAAATGAAGATTCAAAAGACTTAAAAACAATTAAAACCCAGAGAAGCAAGGAGGGAATGTGAAGGGGTTTGGCTCAGAAGAAAATCTCAGGGGTGCTCAGAATCACAGTCCTCACCCTCAGAGTTTGGACCCAGGAAAATCTCATCCTGAGAGATCTGTCCAAGGGCTATGGTTCCCACTCTCTTGCAAAGAGCCTCATATCTTTTTGAAGGCACCTGGATGTTGTTGCAAAGGGGGCCCCTACCACACAGAGGCACAAGTGAGCATACAAAAATAAGGATTTGTTTCCAAGGTTTCATAAATAACTGGGGTGGCAGGTATTAAATAGGACCACAGAATAGCACCCAGCATTACAGCTTGTTCTCCTCGAAGAGGATCTGAGCGTAGACAGTGCTGGTGGGGATGCCCTTGGCAGCCTGGTGGGGCTTGATGAGCTCCAGCTCCGCATAGGTCAAGCTCTCCTCAGCAATCTTCGGCTAGAAAACAAAACACAGCACAATTTTAGCTGACCTGAGGGACTTCACCACACAGTCATTCTTCAGTCATGCATTTTCATAGCATTCTGAGATTTCAAAGAGGTACAAATTGACCAAAAAAATGTTAAGGATATATATATATATTCTAAATAATGTATCAAGCCAGATCTCCTTGTCTTACATGGAACACTGTGGTTTGTTTTCAAGTTTGCATAGAACATTCAAAAAAATGATTAAATATTAAGTCACAGAATAAGCTTCAATTCTGAAGAGTAAAAATAATGTAACTAATAGTCTCTGGTCAAAAGGAAAAAATAAAAGCAGAGGCAGAACTGCCCCCCCACAACCTCCCCACCAAAAAAAAAAATCCTAGCAATTAATAAATTAATAACAAAACTAGAATGCTACTGTCTAGAAACTAACTTGAATGAAGCTAAAATTTCAGAAAGCTTTAAGGCAATGATAAAGATCACTTCTAGAAGTAAAGAATGCACCATTCAGGAAAAATTATAGCCTTTAATATTTATATTAAACAACGTGACTTACATGGATCAAACATCCAATTGAAGAAAACCAGGAAAAAAGATGAATGCAAGAAAAGCAGAAGGAAAAGTAAAGTTAAAAACAAACAAAAAATCAGAATAAATAAAAATCTTGTTCTTGGAAACAACAAAATAATCAAGATAAAAGAGGAACATATAAAATAGGAAATGGAAAAGAGGATATAATGTAAATGAAGGAAATGTTTAAAAGAAAACTACTTTGTTCAACTTACTATAAAAGTTTTTGAAGTACAGGATTAAATTGTTATTGTTCCAAAAAACTGTAAATTGTAATATTAATGCTAAAAAATGTGACTGCAGTATTCATCATCAAAAGTGAAAGAAAGAAAATATTGTCAAAGCGCTCTCTTGTCTCTCAAGAGACAAATGGCCAGACCTGAGAAGTTTTATAGGAAAATTTCCAAAAGAAGTTCCTTTAAGAAGTAGATAATTCCAATGTAATTAAACTGATGTAGAGCATTTCTAAGAAGAAAAACATCCTATCTTTTAGAACAATCTCATTTATCAATATGAATTTTAAATCAAAGTTATTAGAGAGAATAAAGAAGCAATTCAAAGATAATCATATTCTAGTTGATTTTACTTCATAAATGCAAAGATCATTCAATATTGGAAAAATCTATTAATATAATTCACAATAACAACAGATAAAAAATTATATGGCTAAAAGTATATATAGATGGTGGAAAAGCATTTATAAACATTTTTAAATTTTGTTAAAAGTGATTTTTGAATAAAATGGACACATATGTACATTTTCTTACTATGACTAAAGAACATTATTGAAATAATGGTGACATTATTAGTGATACGACTCTAGTGATATTAAAAATACAAAGTCACTATCATTACCATACTGTGATATTGGCAAAAATCTAGGTATCTGATGAGAAAACCCAAACACCACTTTTCAATAAATGTTGGGATAACTGGGTAGCCTGTTGAAAGAAAAATCATATCCTTGTGTCCTTCTTTATACTAGATAAATGGTAGATGGATTTTTAAAAATTATGTAGAAAGCAAACTCAAAAAGAGCTTTGAGTACTTGTAAGGAATATTTCTTTAAATTCAGTACCTGGAGGTATTTAAAAGTATGAAACAAAGCTGAACAGCAATAGAAAAATATATGCTCTCAACAGGCAAATATTGTCTAAAGAAAGTCAAAAGACAAAGGAAGAAATGGGGGAAGTATTTTCGCTCATCTAGAAAGATTTACGGTTGAAGAACGATAAAGGCCAACAATCCATGAGGAAATCAAGCAGAGAAAAAACACAACGGGGCCAGACAGTTCCCAGCAAAGGTAATACAAAGGCTCTTATACATATGAAGTGATCTCAATGCTTCCTCATAGGGAGAATCACAGTTTAAAATCCCACTTACATACCGGTTTTTGTCTTTCATATTGACTGACACTAAATATTTAAAAAAAAAAAAAAAAAAAGATTGCCAAAAGAAACAGAAGTAGATCAACTAGTATATTGTCGGTGGAAGTGCTTCTTGGTACAAACTAAAAGCCAAAGCCCTGAGCCGGCGTGGGGCAGAGTCAGGGGCAGCCCGCAGTGGAGGACGCCTGCAGACTCTTGGCTGCAGACTCTGGGGGCAGGCAGGCTCTCTCTTTGCTATTATCCCAGTAAAAAGGGGTGTAGGGGAAGAGATTTGCATGAGTGTATTGTGCTTAGAAAGCCCTTGGAGTATGCTTGGAAAATCAAGAAATTGGTTTCCAGGGTTCCCGCTGGGAACAAAACTCTGAAAACTGGATATGACTCACCATTTATTACACATGCATTTAAGTAACAACACATTAATGAACTTAATTCATAATTAGAAAAATAAAAGCTGTTCACTAACTTGGAATCACAAAATACACTTGACTTTCACTTAAGCGGTTCTGCTTTTGTTCATTGTTTTGGCTTTGGTTGTAACCCTTGCTTTGTACACACACACACACACACACACACACACACACTTATACCTTGGTTATCTTGCCAATTTTAGGACAAATAAACCATTTACATTCAATTTAAATTCCTTTTCAAAAAACTGCCAAAAGCAAAAATGCCTCTCTTCTCTTGAGATGAAACATCATTAATAGTGACTAGAACTCTGTGTAGTTAATCTCTATTAAGGGCTGATTGCCCAAACCAGCTTAACAAATTGTACGGCTATTTTTAATTGTAAAATTAGAGACATTTACAAGAATGGGAACCTCTGGTCTTTTGACACCTAAAGTCTTTACATTGCTTCTTAGTCGCCCATATCTTACAAGTCAACAAAAATTCCATTTCCATCTTGCCTTTTGATTTAATTACATTTCACATTATAATGATTCCATTTAGAAATGCCAAGTGTCCTCAAATAAGCCGGCAAAACCCAACTCATGTAAATTTTAGAACCAAGATTTATGAAATCATATTGTCCAGGTGTTTTATTACATTACCTAGAAATTGCATTGTTTTCTAGTGTAGATTATCTGTTTATTCTTAAGTTATTCCATTATGTTTGGATATGAAAAATAACACTAGCTTTCTCAATACAGGTCACCAGGCTGGCTTGGCTGATGTGTTGTTTTCATACATTTTTATGATGTTCCTATAGTAAACATAATTTAATAAAGCCAAAGCACACTAAATAAATAATTGCATCTAGGAAAGCAATAAAAACAAATAAAATTAGTACTTTCATAAGTGGAAAGGTACTTCAATTTCTGCTACAAGCAACAACCCACCATAAAATGTGTAGAATCATTTCCCTTATGCATATTTCTGGAATATAATAATTTGATTGAAGATATGAGGCAGCACACAGGAGGCTGTGAATTGTGAAATGTGTACCGTTTCCACCAGAAGATGCATAACAGCAGTCCCTGGCACCTGTAATGAACCTCTTCTTTTCTGGCATGCTCACTTGGCTATCACCATCAACCATATGCTTAATTACATTTCCCAGCTTATTTAACTGGAAATAAATTCCAAATGGCCAGTGAAAGGGGGCAAATATGGACGCCTACCAGTTTTCATCAAGTTACCCTTCTTTGCACTGAGGTTTTCGTGGAAAGTTCAGGTGCACTGAGAGAAAAGTAGCTTAGCGAACATTATTGGCATGGCAAGTCAGTAAGACAAGGTAAGACCATAGAACTGGTAGTAAAACCAGGAGCCAGAAACGGAAATGTTAAAGTTGGTGACAGCAATGGGGCAGAGGCAGGGCATTCTAGATGATGTTGGCAGGAGTGATGATAGAAACCTGCTCTGGGTTTAAGCAAGGGCCCTAGGGTCTCTGGCAAGTCAAGAACTGGAACACAGCACATGGATCTCTGCAGATGAATCAAGCAGCTCTTCTGTTTGTTCCTACCCAGCTGCTGATGCCAAGTCAGTCACTGCCCCCCCCCATTTTGGGGGGTATAGAAGTATATAGAGTGTTATAACTTAGGCAAAACACAAATAATCTTGAGCTGGCTGCTCAGAAATACTCCCACGACAATTTCAGATTACACTGAAAATACAAAATTAACCACTCAAAGTAGAGAGTCCAGGCTTTCAAAGTGAGCTTTACATTGGCATGCAGTGTTGCTGTCTTCACTAGAAAGCAAAAGGGACAGGAACAGACAGCAGAGTGGACCCCTTGCTGGAAAGCCCTGAAGAGTCCCGTAGGAAAAGCTCTAGGCTTTTCTAAACATGTGAGCAGCAGTCTCATCATTTCCTCTTTCCCAGGACTCTGGCTTTGCTTTCTTTTCCCTTTCACCCAGTCTGCAGAGAATCCTGGTCACTTTCTCTGTCTCAGATTAAGCCTTGGTATTTGCGCTCAGCTGTTTGTAGCACATGTGTTTTCCTTTTACTTTATGTGAAAAGGAATTTTTCATACATCTCCCGAACAGAGAGAATCTTCTTCTGAGTCTGGAAGGGGAGGAGGAGTATGAGGGTCTGTTCATATAGAGATAAATGTTGCAAAAGCAGACTGAAGTAAAAGAAAGTTCTTAGAACTCTGGTTCAATGACTGTCTGAGTGTGGGAAGAGGCAAGGGCCATGGCCGGGGGTCTCTGTGGCCCTATCGCAGGGCTCGGTGCGGGTGAGATCTGGACACTTTCAAATGTCAGCAATGTGGCCTTGGGCAGTTCTGTATTTGGCACTGAAGGGTTGACCTTGCTGATGTGAGGATTTAGATGAGATGCTGTCTGTAATGAAGCCCACCCCACAGAAGACAGGAGATGCTAAACACTTATGTGCTGAATGAGTAAATGTTTCAGTGTCACCACTTTCTCTCTGGAAAATAACCTAAAAATCCACTTATGTTCTGAGCATTTTATGAGTCACCAAGAACTATGTGAACTAGCAGCCCTGGATATCTTTTGATGGATAATGGATTTGAGGAAACTAATTATATGGGCTGAATTGTGCCCCTTGAAAAAAATTCCTATGTTCAGCCCTAAACCCCCAATGCCTA